GGTCACATCGGAGCTGCTGGTGGTTTTTAACTGGTGATCATGAGGTCAGCAGCCCCACATGTAGCTCATTTCACTACCTTGCTTTACCCTAGTCCCACCTGTGTGTGTGTGTGTGTGTGTGTTTGTGTGATAGAGAGGTTGCTTATGGTGGGGTCACTGGTTCTGAGTGCTTTAAGATTCTTATTCCTCTTAATATGAATTACTGGGATATTTCTCAGAAGGATTCCAGTGAAGGTTGTTTTTATTGTCGTTGTTTCGCAATTTCGATATATTCCCAAAGATTCCGTGCAACAGGATCAAGTCCTGGTCTAGGACACTACTGTGTGCCAACTCCAGTATCTTGTTGCTTGAGAAACCTCCTTTTCCACATTTGCATCACCTGATCTGTCTTGGGCAAATAGTAATCCCTTAAACCTCCAGTCTCTACTCAATTATTACAGAAACAACACAAAGCCTCGCCTATTGAGTTAACGTCCTGAACGAAAGACCAACCTAGCTCCTGCCTGTATCATTTTCATAGGAAAGGACCTGTATTGGATTGAATTGCACTCCCTCTGCCCCAAATAGGTGTTGTAAATCCTTACTCCTGGGGCCCGTGGTTACGATCCCTTTAGGGAATGGCTTTTGTTTGGGATATGTTCAGAGGTTTTTGTTTGGGATCTGTGTTCAGCGACACCAGGAATGTCTTCAGCCAGTTGCTCCAGACAGGAAAGAGCAGCTTAAACACAGAGAAGCAAACAGAGATGCGGAAGACAGTTGGTGCCAAGGTGCCCAGGAAGGAAGCTGAAAAGAGGCAAGGGCCGCCCTGCCCGCTCCCCAAGCCGAGGGAGAGAGAGAGAGAGAGCCTTCCTCTAGAGCGGGGTGGGCAAACTTTGGAGACCCAAGAACCGATCCTGTCCCTCACAACAGTTTAAAAATGATTTGAGAGCTATAGATGTATTTTTACAAACAAATGAAATCACCATTCTCTGAATAGTCTCCATTAATTTTTTTATAAGTGAAACTATGATAGTTTGATTTGCATTTTCAGTTTTACTTCATGTACCACATGTTTACCACATGTACAAACTAGAGGAGCCGCGGATGGCTCTTGAGCTGCGGGTTGCCCACCCTGCCTTAGAGCCATGGCCCTGCTCCCAGCAGCCTCCAGTATTGTAAGAAAGGGGATTTCTCTTTGCTAAAACCACCCACGTACAGTATTCCTGCTGTAGCAGAGGCCAGTAGCCAAGACAGAGCCCCCACGGTGTGAGGAGGCTACCTAGCGGTGACTAATGGCTGACTCTGTTCTTTTACCACAAGCCCAGCATCCAGCTTGAGGCTCCAATCCTCATTCTCTTATTTGGGGGACAAATGACATTTAGCTATGCCCCCTAACAGCTTTAATTCTTTATTATTTTTGTTTTATGGAAGTCAAGTGGAAAAATAGCTGGGCTATTCTGTCCTGTCTAGAATTTTCCAGGGGGTGAGGGTGGGGGGTACTTTTAAAGAAGTCACTCAATGGAAAATCACTGGGCTGGGCTTTAAAGAGGCCTCTTCCTGAGTCATTCAGTTGCAAATGGACTCTCTGTATCTGGCACACGGAAGGGAAAGCTCCATGGAGGAAAGAGACCAAAGATTTTTCCCCCAGTGGGGTTCCTTTGCCTATCTTGGGTTTTCTGCTAATTAAAAGCCACTTGGCTCATGGGGGTAAGCCTAAACCTGAGAAGCTGACAGTTTAAACCCCATCAGACAGGAGAAAGTGTGGCAGTTCGAACCCCAGCAGCATGAGAAAGGGGGCCCTGGGGGCGTAGCGGTTCCAGGTTGGTCTGCCATCTGCAAGGTCAGCAGTTCAAAGCCACCAGTCGCTCCTTGGGAGAAAGATGCGGTTTTCTACTCCCGTAAGCAGCTACAGTCTTGGCAACTCACAGGGGCAGGTCTACCCGGCCCTAGAGGGTTGCTATGAGTCGGCACCGACTCAATGACAGTGAGTTTAGAGTTTGCGGTTGGTTTTCAAGTGGTCCAGGACCGGGCCATGTTGACACCTTGCACACACTCTACACAAGGCCACTCTGAGTCTGAGCTGATGGGGCGGCAACCACCAATAGCACAGCAGCAATTGGGGGCAGCCAGTTTCGTTGGCTTGGTCTGCTTCTCCCCTGCCCCTCCCTTGCTCACCTTTCTTCTCAGGGCAAGTTCGGCTGAGTTACCAGGAGGCCCCGGGATCCCTTGGCTTGGCTTCTGGCCAAACAGTTGACGGTCCGTGCTCACAGGGAGCCACCGCTGTAAGAAGGGGCCCACAACCTGCTCTGAGAGGTCACACTCAGGAGAGCCCTCTGGGGCACTTCTGCTTGTCACACGTGGCATCACCGTGAGTCAGAACTGATTGCACGCCAACCGACAACAGCCACCTTACTGGAACTTTCCACTGGGATGGAGCAAGGGCTCTGTCTTCTTTTCCTGTCCATTGTGGATCCCTCCGAGCAGGATTTCCTCACCTGCGGGGAGGCTGCCTTTGCTAGGAAGGCTTGCCAAGCAACAGCTAGGTGTGAAGACAGCGCTGGTCCCCAGGATGGGCAAACTGAACTCTTGTGAAGACGGGATTAAAAAAGGGTGCAAGGCAAATCGATCCGGGTATGGAATAGAACGCGTAGAAAACACAGTCGGGAAAACATGTTGAGCTATGGCCAAAGACCTCTTGGGACTGAGTTACTGGGCCTGGGGTCTGGAGTTCATAGTCATGGGAGCCATCCAGGTCAATTGGCATCACGTAGTCCATTAAAAAAAAATTGTGCATCTTGCCTTGGTGAGAAACAGCTGTGGGCTTCGAAGCTTGCAAATAGCCATCCAAGACAAAACTATGGATCTCTTCCTGCCTGGAGCAGAGGAGGGGGGAGAAAGACTCCAGGAAACAATTAGTCCAGAGGACTAATGGATCATACGAGCCGCAGCTGCTGCCAGCCTGAGACCAGAAGAATTAGATGGTGCCTGGCTACCACTGAGATCTGACTGAGATCACAGTAGAAAGTCCCAGATGGAGTGACAGAGTGAGAGAAAACTGTAGGTCAAAATTCAAATGCATAAAAAAATAGTACCCCCCTCAAAAAAACACACAAAACAAAATGTATTGACCTGACAAAAACTGGTGGCAAGCCTAAGGTGGTGGCCCTTAGCCACCCTTCCAACTTAGACCTGAACCCACTCGTGGAGATCCCCTTACAGACAAACAACAGGCAGGCCTATCATCTGTCTTGGAAGACGTTCAACCAGAGTGCCCCTCAGAGGAAAGATGGTGAGATTTTGTGTCAGGTGCTTTGGACAGGTTGGCAGGGGAGACCAGTCCCTGGAGAAGGACATCATGCTAGATAAAGTAGAAGGGCAGGCCCCAAAGAGGAAGGCCTCAATGGGCTGGATCGGCACAGTGGCTGCCACAATGGGCTCAAATGGAAGCCCAATTGTGAGGACGGTGCAGGATTGCTCTGTTCTAGGTGGGGTTCGGATTGCTATGAGTCCGAACACTGAGGCATGTACTTCTCCATACACACGACACCAACCGGCAGCTGTTACTGCCGGCTTTCCCTTGGCCCCAGGAACAGAGAGGCAGAGTTCCCGAGGCTGCAAACAACAAAGGAGTTTATTGACTAGCTGGAGCTAGGGCTCAAGTGCTAAGGTACCAACGCCGTGGTCACCAAAGACAAGGACCCCGATCTGGGGCCCAAGCCAAGCTTTATACTCTTTACAGGTTACATAAACTGGGTGAAACTATGTCCTCTGGGTGAAACTATCCCCCTTACCCTCCCATAGTTCAGTGACTTCATCTGGAGACAATTGGTTGTGCAGGTCTTTTTGGTTGACTAGCTCTACTCTCGGACGTTCCAATTGTCATGACTTTCCAGGTGTGGTCAGCGTCATTGTGATCACTCGGGCCTTTCCAGGTGTGGTCAGCGTCAATTTGGGGGAGAGGGTGACTTTGTTAGAGGAACGAAACTCAAGGTTGTTAGAGAAACGAAACTTAGGCCTGCCTTAAGAGGCTTGACCTGTCATGGAGTCACTGCTGCCTTACACAGCATCTTCCCGAATAAAATTCAGATCTGAAAGGGCAGGAAGCTGGATGGATTGACACAGGTAACCCAAGGTGTGGAGGGAGCATGCTGACCAATTGAGGGGGGTTGTGACCAACTTCACAAGACGACCTGGATATCAATGGCTGACTGGGAAACGAATTTGCCTTGCAGAGTTTCACGTAAGCCATAATTAAAAACACAAGCCAACAACAAAACTCACGGCCGTAGAGAGTCAATTCTGACTCGTAGTGACCCCATTGGAGAGACCAGAATTGGTCTGTGGGTTTCCAAGACTCTTTCTGGAAGTAGAAAATATGATAATAATGAAGGAGTGCAAAGCATTGTTCCTACACATACATTTGTCCCAAGACAGCAGTGTGCCCGCCTACAGCATACACCTGCCCTCACGGTGATGGGTACCAATGACGGGCAGGGCCTTTGAGAAAACTCAGAGGACATCATGCTGGATTTGCAAATTTGGCAGGACTTATTTTTCTGGGCCCTTAAGAATTGAGTGCAACCCAGCTTGAAGAATGAGCTCAGTGTCAGTGAGTTGTACATGAAGTGTTCTTGGTGGTGTGATGTGCGTGTTCTCATTAACGACAAGAATAGCGTACGTTTCATATCAATACAGTACAGCCCCCAATCCTTCCTATTCTGCTTATTTACGGAACGCCAGAGGCTATTTCTAGACATTCGCGTTTAGAAGCCAGGGTAAAGGCCAAGGTTTCTACGGCCACGTGGGAAGCAGGGGAGGGCGGGAGGAATCCGGTCCCGCTAGGACCTAGCGGACGAAGACGCATCCTCCCGGAGCTCGTGGGGGGTTGGAGGGAAGTGAGGCGGTGCCATCGGCCGACTGACCAATCAGAAGTCGCGTTCGCTCCAACGAGCGACCCTCGCCGGGGCCCTCCCCGCTGGCCGCGGGGGCTATTTAAAGGCGCACTCGCGCCGACTCGGCGGAGGGGTCACGCGTTGTGGTGTCCGCTTCTGTGGTCGTCATGGCTGCTTTTCTCGTGCTCAACACCGGCGCCAAGATGCCCATCGTGGGGCTGGGCACCTGGAAGGTAAGCGCCGGGGCGGGGGGCGACCGCGGAGGGCCGGTCGCGACCCTGCTGGACCCGCTGGGGAAGCCGAGCCTGGGGGCCCTCGCACGGGTCTCGGGCCCTGGGCCTTGGGCCCCTGTCCCCGGTCCCCGGTCCCCGGCGGCCGGGCCGGCTGGGTGGGACCCCACGGGGTGGGCTGGGCTCTCGTGGTGAGCGAGTCCCGCCGCGGCGGCCCGCGGGCACGGGGCGGGGCGGCCCCGGGGCCGCGTCTCTGATGGCCGGCTCTGGCCGTGAAGTCGCCCGAGTGGACGGTGGCGGGTGGGGCTCGGACCACCGGGGAGTGAGCCTCCAGCCTGGGGGAGTGGGATTCCGACCCTGAGGGTGTGAAGCCCCAGGAGGTGGGGTTGGGACCTAGACCCTAGTCAGAAAGAAGTAGGACCCCTCCCGGGGCCCTGTGGGACATTAAAGGTGGCCGGCTTCTCTCGTGGGCTCCTGGAGAGGTCTGGTCTTTCTCCAAATTATCCTGGACCGGCCATCCACTTTCTTACAGAGCCTAAGTAGACCCAAACCCACCCCATCGTGTGCCCTCCGGTTCGGATTCATGGGACAGAGTAGAACTGCCCTCGCCGGTTTCCCGAGGCTGTCAATCTTTAAAGAAGCCCACTGCCTCATTTTTCTCCCACCGAGCACCTGGTGGGTTTGAACCGCCATCCTCTCTCCCTCGGAGGGCTTCACTGCTGCTCTTGCTGGGGGAAAAGACGAGGCTGTCAGCTTCCGTAGAGATTTCCAGCCTAGGAACCAGCAGGGAGTGGTTCTGTGCTGTCCAGTAGGGTTGCTGGGACTTGGTGGAAGTCCTACTACACACCCCCCTCCACCTGTTGATCCCCATTCCCTCCCTGCTTCTGGAGACCCCAAGTTTCACAGAACTGTGGCTGCTGCCTCAGTGTGGCTGGGGCTGTAATCGCAGTAGGACATCACCAGGACTTCCTGTCCCCCAACTGATCCTGGGTGGGTTCAAGCAAGTCTTTAGGTTAGCAGCAGAGAGAAAACCTTTGGGGCCACTCTGAGAAACCCTTTTTTTCTTTAGTCATCTTTTTGGAGGCACGTACAACTCTTATCACAATCCATCCATTGGGTCAAGTACATTTGTTGCCATCATCATTTTCTGAGAAACCTTAAAGCGGCTTGAGTCTCCTCACGGTGTCCCTAAGAAGCCATTTGCAATGAGACTGAGAGCCTGCAGGCATCAAAATTAGGGCACAGAGAATGTGGCATTTGGGGGAAGTGAGGCGAAACCCAGTATTTTTAAGCTGCTTATAGACCATTCCCAAACCATGACCCGTCTTTTCCCCTTAGGGGCACTTTGAACATGGGTGTGGGTGCTGGGCATTGTACACACCGACAAGGACAGAAGAGATTAGACTGGCCTGAGTAGCGGTGGAGTGGGTTGAAGGAGGGCAGAGAGTGGCTCTCTCTCCACCTCCAAGCTGCCCCCTGCCAATTCCCGCAGCAGTGGTGAATAAGAAAACCTTTCCCTGGCAGGACAAGTCCCGTGGCCTGTGCTTCCTCTGTAACATCTGGTGGTGGCTGTCAGGCTGTAATTGAATTGGCGTGAAATGCCACCTGCCACAGCCGGTCATCCTTCAGTGAAAGTGGAGAGTGCATCCCTGGCCACCCGCACCCAGTGGCTAACGCCGCCAACTCGGCTCCCAGACATCACGGACACCTGGGACCAGCCTCTCACCATGTGACACAGCTGTGGGGTGCAGGCAACTACTTTTATTCTGGTTTCAGAAGTTGTTTTTCGTGACCAGAACACCACTTCCCTTTGGGAAGTAAGGGGTGAATATTTGTAACTCCAAACTGGGTTGCTGTTGAGCCGATTCCAACTCAAAGCCACTGTTCCAGAGGGTTCTCCTGCCTCTGCTCTTTCTGGAAGCGATCACCAGGCCTTTCCTCTACAGTACCATTGGCTGGCTTCAACCAGCCAACCCCTAGGTTGGCGGTCTTTTAAAGGGGCAGGTGGGAGGCCATCTGCTCTGGACTCCATGTGGCTTAGAGGGTGGTCCTCCTGGCAGACCCCTGTCCTCATTGGATACAACTCATAGCATGGTGTGGCCAGGAGCCTTTAAAAGGCCTAGATAGCTCTGATACCAGCAGGTGCTCTCTTCCAAAAGCCAACCCACTGCCACCAAATCCAACTCACAGTGACCCTGGGCAGGGCTTCTGAGGTGAAATCTTCACTGGAACAGCCCGCCCCATCTTTCTCCCGAGAAGCAAAGGAGCTCGGGTAGAACGGAGACCTTGGGGTTGGCAGTCCAAGGTCTAACCCACAGCGCCACGCCACCCGGTCTCCTTAGTGCCTGGTTACCAGGACATTTGTCAGAGCTAGCTGAAAACCCACTAGCCATAACTGGTGTCGGCAATCAATGCTCATGAAGCTGCAGTCGAGATCAAAAGACATCTTTTAAAGTGTTCAAAACCAAGGAGATTACCTTGAGGACTAAGGCGCACTTGGTATTTTCCATCGCCTTGTAGTATATGAAAATTGGACATGGAATAAGAAAACCAAAGAATGGGTGCAATTCAATTTATGGTGCTGGCCAAGAATATTGAAAGTGAGTGGACTTCCAAAAGAACCGGCACAGCGTCCTTGGAAGACGTACAGCCAGAATGCTCCACAGAGGCACGGGTGGCGAGACTCGTCTCGTGTGCTTCCGACGTGTTGTCGGGAGAGACCGGTCCCTGCAGAAGGGTCTCTTGTCTGGTGAAGTGTGGGCCGTGAAAAAGAGGAAGACTTTCGACGAGGTGGACTGACACAGTGCCTGCGTCCCTTGGGCACCTCAGGAATAGACAGGAACACCTTTCACACCTTCCACCCACTCCACACGCTGGTGCTTTTGAGGCATGCTTTCCAATGTCTTCCCCACCCGTTGGCATTTGAAAACCCACCATCAGCTGTGTGTTCACGCATGTGAACCCTGGGCGGGCCACAGCCCCTGCAGTTGTGAGGTGCCCCAGAGCCTTTCCATGTGACAGGGCAGAACTGCCCCAGACAGTCATCTTTAAGGCGAGGCACTTTCCAGCAGGCATTAGACTCTTAACTGAAAGGCAGGCAGTTCAAGGCCACTAGCCACTCCCTGGAAGAAAAATGAGACTCTGCTCCTGTAAAGACTTACAGCTCCGGAAAGCCTTGGTGAGTTTGACTAGAATCAGCATCGGCAAGCTCTCTATGGGTCTGGACTTGGGGTTTCTGGTATCTGAGCAAGAACTGGACCACCAGGTCTTCTCTCCGCAGAGCAACGGGGTGGGCTCCAGCGCCCACTTTGCGCCATCTGGCCTCCTTAACCACTGCAGCAGCAGACCTGGGTGTTTGTCTTTTAAAAATAATGCCCCCTCCCCCCACCACCCAGCAGCCTGCCAGTTCTTGCCTCCGTGGTACCACCTTGCCCGAGTGGAGACTTCAGGAGCTAGAACACATACTGAGCGAGATTCCTGCCACTTTGATGGGACAGGATTGGCGAGTGTGTGTGTGTGTGCGCGCGCGCGCGCGCGCGCACATGCAGATGGAGCTGAGACCAAGCTAGGTGGTTTTACTGCCCACCTCCTGAACTCAGTGGCCACTGCTTCCCAGAGGTTATCAGTTAACCCCACCCTGGCCAGCCACATCCCCACACAAGGAAACGTGGCTAGCTCTGGCGGGTTCAATCCGTGTGTTTGGACAGATAAGGCTGATTCCTCAGCACTCACCCCTTTCATCTTGGGCACTGCAGTCAACACGAGGACACTGTAAAAGATTTTGGACATGTGAACACGTGCCAAGCAAGGCTGCATTATCTGCTTGTGCAGTGGAAATCAGTGCCTGGCCTGTGGGTGGACCACTGGAACACACCAGGCTGGTTGTCCAAGGGCTTCTCCCAGCTGGGCTCTTGCAAGGGTGGCTGTTTGCGTTCGTTTTTACTAACGTTCTCCATTAGCGTGTTCGGCCTTCTTTTCTTTTTTTTTTAACGTCCTTTTCTAGAATATCTCTAGATTTGTGGACACACTGTGCAGAAAGTAGAGAGCTCCCACGGCCACCCCCACCCCCCACCCCCCTCCTGGGGCACGTTGATAAACTTGTTGAGCTGACTTTGATACATTGTGCTTACTAAGGTCCATCAGGGTGTATTCTGTGCCCGACAAGCCAGATAGCAAGTGTCCACCCTGACAGGGTAAGTTCAGTAGGCATTATTCCTAACAGAACACGATGTAATAGAAATGCTTCTCCAGACTGCCCCTGTGGGTTTCCAAGACTAACTCTTTATAGGAGTAGTGGCTCCTGGTTTCGAACTGCCGACCTGGCCTCCTGGGTAACCTCCTGCGCCCCCAGGGCTCGAGTCACATAGCTTCCTCGCCCTTAAAGTTCCCTGTGCTTCATCTGCACGCTTCTCCCCACGTTTTGTTCTGAGGGTACGTACGAATCAGCCCCTGGTGACCCAGTGGTTAAAGGCTTAGCTTCTAACCGTCGGGTTTGTGGCTTGAAATCACACTGCCACGTCCACCTCCCACAGAGCGACTGGTGGGCTGAACCCACTGACCATTCCATTAGCAGCCAGGCGCTTAACTGTGCCGCCAGGGTTCCTGTTGAAAAACCTGCTGGGGCCATTCTCCTCTGGTCTCTGTGGACATGCCCTCAGCACCAGCACTGGGTCAGGGGTAGCACACAGAGGCGGGCAGGTCAAAAAGGTCTGCTACTGGGGTCCCAGTCCACACCTGCCCAGGTTTACTCCGAACAAACCCTGTTCAGACACAGCTGGCGCCAGTGGTCAGCTGCAGGCAGTCCTCTCAGTAATGCACACCTCTTCATCTCGTTCAGGTCCATTCACATAAAAATCCTCGCAGTGCACTCCCTTCTGAGAGGACCCGCTGGGCCAGTTTGATTCGAAACAGAGAGGTCAGCCCAGAAGGTCATGGTGATGGTGTGCTGGGATGCCAGCAGGGCATCTTGATAGCTATCTCCGAAGGACAGGGGCTTAGGGAGTTTGCATGAAAACTGCACAGCGAGGAAAGGGCCTGGGCATTGCACTGGGGAACGCTTTTCCATCACGTCAGTGCAGTGCCCTGCTCATTCTCTGAGGGGAGCAGCCAGGGCTGTGCTAGGAGAGCTTTGTTGGGGAACTTTCTCCCATTCCGCCCGGTCTTTCTTTCCCCTGCGGGTTTCTTCTTGTTCCTCAAACTCAGTGAATACGACCTGGATCCCCGAGGCTGCACAAGCTGCCGTTCTGACACGGTTCCACTCAAAGACTACAGGGTCCTTCCGGGAAGGGCGAGAGGGATGGAGACACCACCTTCGGAAGTGTGCAGACCCGGGTGGAGGCTGGGTCTGGGGACAGTGGCTTCACCGCAGTGTGATGTTTCTCCTCAGTACAAGGTCTATGATTTTTGTAGCCATCACTGCTGACCCAGCCTTGTCTTTGCAGGGTGACCAAGGTCTGGCTCAGGGTCGGACTTAGAGGCCACACTCTCTCACTCTCCAATGCTGCACCGATGACTCACTACCCACATGTGACATCAGGTTTTCATTTCATAGTCACCTTCCCTGTGAGTCCTCCTTAATGAGGACTAAACCCCCTAGGCCTGCCAGCTAGCCGATTGCTACACAGATGCATCCTGTAAGGCAGTGGACTGCCCCGCGAGGTTTCTGAGCCCATGAGTCTTTGCGGAAGCAGACTCCTTCCTCATCTTGGTCTGTGCGGTGGTCAGTGGCTCAGACCTTTGACCTTAGCAGTCCAATGTGTAACCCATTGCTACAGAGTCCATTCCGACTCAGGTACCGTAGAGGACAGTAAGGTAAATGCTATTAACAGTTGCTTAGACTGGATCTTTATGGGAGCTGACCGCCTCATCTTTCTCCCTTGGAGTGGCTAGCGTGTTTGAACTGCTTAGCCCACAGCACCATCGAGGCTTCTTTCCTTGCGCTCAGACCCAGACCCATGGCCATGGAGTCGACGGCTACCCTTTATGGGTTTCCAGGGCTGTAAGTCTCGGCGAGAGCAGGTAGCCTCAACTTTCTCCTGCTGAGCAGTTGATGGCTTTGAACCACCGACTTTGCAATTAGCAGTCCAATGCGTAGCCAACAAGGCTAAATAAAAAAACATCTGCCCCTGTTCTGATGTCACCTACAAACTGGCAGATGCAACTGCAAGGTGCAGGTAGCAAGGATCTCATTGGTCACTTGGGGAGTGCCTGTTTAACAAAACATCGGCCGGGTCCATGGTTTCATACATCCACTTCAGTGATGCTAATTATGTTCATCGTGTGGCTCAACCGTTCGGATGTTGCCAAATTTCTTTCTATCGCCCTTAACAGGACCTCTACGCCCTCTCAGGCAGTAACCCCCACCCCCCACTGCTGCCCATCGTAAGCGCCAATGAACTTCAGGGTCTCTGCCTTAGCCAGTTCTAGATTGCTCCTGTAAGTGGGGTCATGCAATATTTGCCCTTTGATATGTAAAGCATTTTACATATCAGGACCGTTCAAGTCGTAGCGTGCATCAGGAGCTCAGTTCCCAGCCTTTCGTTGTCAGCTGCCAGCACATCTGTCCGGACCCCTAGCGCAACCTCTGGATGTATAACAGAGTGAAGCGCCAGCTGGTCTGCGCCATCCTCAGGGTTGGTCTTCCGCCGGAGCCCATTGCCGCAGCCACTGTGCCATTCCATCTTGTCCGGGGTCTTCCTCGTTGTCACGACCTCTCTGCCAAGCATGAGGTCCTTCTCCAGGCCCTGGTTTCTCCTGGTAAACACGGCCAAAGTACGTTGAGCGCTGCCCCACTATCTTTGCCTCTATGGAGCATTCTGGTTCCTTGGCCCGTGGAACCGCCAGCTGCCGGCTCCTGTGTCAGTGACCCTGCTGTGGCCCGAGCGCCACCCCAGACTGTCATCTCAGCTGCACTGCCCCCAGAAACCCAGGTTCCTCTCCCAGGACAGTGCCCCCTCTTAGCACACCGCGCCCCCCTTCCTGCCCTTGCCCACTGGTCGGGGGTGTGTGCCCTGTGGGCCTCCTAGGACACACAGGAGGGGCGCTGCAGCAGCTCCTCAGAGGGAAGAACGTTCCTTGCACACCAGGCACTCCCCTCTTCCCTCCACCCTGCCCTGGCCTGTCCCTCAGATGGCCACCTCGGCTGGCCTGGATAGGGAGGGACACTGTTCTGTCTCTGTTACCGACTACCAGCCTCACTTGCAATCCCCTCCCACCTCCTCTGATGACCCCGTCCCCCCACAGCATGTCACTGAGGGACACTGACAGCCAGGCTCCAGGCCATCACACACCCCCTCCCCCCGGGGTGTGCAGCCAGTGAGAGCCTGGGTCCAAACCCACATGTGAGGGAGGGAGAGAGGGGATCCATGGGGGGCTTGGGACTTCCCGGCTCTCACTGACTGACCCGGAACCTCAGTGGAAGTAACTGAGTCTGTTAAGCTGCTTCTGAACTCCTTAGAGCTGCTCAGAGACTGATGTCCCCGAGGTGGCGTAGAGCCCAGGCACACGGGCAGGAGTTGACCCTTGGGATGCAGCATGGCATGTGCCATGAGGGGAGGCCCTGGCCCCCCACCAACCTCAGAGGACCAGAAGCCCCACCAGGATGACTCCTTGGCTGTTTTTTGTGGTCTTAACCCTGGGATCATGTCTCTTCCCTTGCAGTCCCCTCCGGGCAAAGTCGCCACGGCAGTGAAGGTGGCCATCGATTTGGGCTACCGGCACATCGACTGCGCCCATGTGTACCAGAATGAGAGAGAGGTGGGGGAGGCCCTGCAGGAGAAGCTCCAGGCGGCCAAGGTGAAGCGCCAGGACCTCTTCATCGTCAGCAAGGTGCCGGCCACTGGCGTGGGCCCCGGGGAGAGGGGATGAGTGCCAGGCCTCCAGGGTGGACAGATGGTCCCTAGGGCCCAATGTTGTCATGCCTGGGCCTCTGGGGAGAGTCCATTTGGGGGTGGGAACTAAAAAGCTTTATCAGCTGAGGTGACATGGTTCAGAGCCCACCCTGGCTGGTGTCAGAGCCATGGGTCAGGACCTGTGCTGCCCAGCCAGGGGGGTCGGCTCTCCCTGTCCTGGAGCCACCTCTGTTGGGTGGCCTCGGTTGGGCTCGGAGGCGAAGTGTGCTCTCACCCGCCCCGCAGCTCTGGTGTACCTACCACGACAAGAGCTTGGTGAGGGACGCCTGTAAGACGACCCTCAGTGACCTGAAGCTGGAGTACCTGGACCTGTACCTGATCCACTGGCCCACCGGCTTCAAGGTGCGGGCCTGGGCTCTCCCGGCTGCCTCGCCCCGCCCCCTAAGCAGCCCACAGCCTCCCTTGCCCATCGTCCACATACCCCTCTCCCACCCCCACACACTAACGCAAACAAGCTGTCCAGCGGAAGGCTACTGCTGACTGTCTTGTTTCTGGTGCCCCGTGGGTCTGGCAGGCGGGGAAAGATCTTTTCCCATTGGACGGCACAGGCAACGTGATCCCCAGCGACACCGATTTCGTGGACACGTGGACGGTACGTGGCCCTGGATGGCCCTTGTTCTTCCCGGTTGGTCCCGGTGCTTCCCACGAGTGAACGAGGGGCAGGCTGCCCGCTCTGCCACCCGCCGTTTCCCTCCCTCGGCTTGTTCCCCGGTCCCTGCGCCTGCTCTTGTCTGCGGCAGCCAGGGCCAGGCCTGTTCAACCACGGGGGCAGAGCTGCTTCCGGACTTCGTCCTGCTGGCACGTGCCAGCACCAAGCCGCTCTCTCCCCTCTCCAGGCCATGGAGGCGCTGGTGGATGAGGGGCTGGTGAGGGCAATCGGGGTCTCCAACTTCAACCACTTCCAAATCGAGAGACTCCTGGACAAGCCTGGCTTGAAACACAAGCCTGCGGTCAACCAGGTAAACAGCTGGCCTCACCTTTGTTGGTCGGGGAGGGAGAGAGTAGCATGGGAAACTTGCTCTCCCCTGCCACGTCCCCTCCATGTGCCCCGCCCACGGTGCCACAGACCCGCCCTCCCCTGTGCATTTGCAGATCGAGTGCCACCCGTACCTCACCCAGGAGAAGCTTGTCCAGTACTGCCGGACCAAGGGCATCGTGGTGACTGCCTACAGCCCCCTGGGTTCCCCTGACCGGCCCTGGTGAGTGGGCCCTATACACCGGGCACCGGGAGGGCTTCATGGGGCCAAGCCTCTTGTTGGCGACCCCGTAGCAAGATAACCCTCTTCTGTCCCCCACAGACGAAGGCTGGGACCACCTTCAGATTTCGCAATCCCGGCCACGGGCTCCCTGGGTGGTGGCAATGGGGGTGGCTCACCCAGACCCTCTTTCTGTCTTCAGGGCTAAGCCCGAGGACCCCTCCCTGCTGGAGGACCCCAGGATCAAGGCGATTGCAACCAAGCATAAGAAGACCGCAGCGCAGGTAATACCTGGCCCCGGACTCGGCCGTGCCCCTGGCGTACAGGCAGTGGGGGCAAGCTTGGGCCCTCTGGAGACCCCACAAGGCTGGGGGCAATAGAGCCTGCCGGTGCCACACCCTTCAGAGGGTACCCAGTGCCTTCTCCCGGCAACAGCTGAGTGGGGGTCACTTGCGGATGGCCGGCGGCTACAAGCCCTGGTCTCTCATTGGTGGGGTCCCAGTGGTGCCTGGGCCAGCAGGCTGCAACCTGGCCCTCGCACGCACGCTGTGCGGAGAGGGATGACCAAGGGTGGGGCCTCTCTGCTGCAGGTTCTGATCCGCTTCCTCATGCAGAGGAACTTGGTCGTCATCCCCAAGTCCGTGACCCCCGAGCGCATTGCCGAGAACTTCCAGGTAGGACCCCGCGGGTGCCGAACGGCCCTGCTGCTGCGCCGCACTGCCACCTGGATGTGTCCTCGGCCAACCCTCGGGCCAGGGAGCTGTCCTCTTTAAGAGCCCCTGGGGGGGTCCTGCAGGCTTCTCTGAGCTCAGACAGCACCCACGGGAGATACAGTTGGTGGGAGCAGCCTGGCAGCCCCCATTCCTAGAGCATTAGGGAGAATAGCATCTGTCACCAATCTTGGGGTGGGGCGGGCTCTTCAGCCGCGGTCTCTCCAGGCACGGTCTCTCCAGGCACCCTTCACAGGGCTTCCTCTCCGCAGCATGGGACGCTGACCTGCAGCCTCCCACCCACCCATTCCTGGTGGCCCCTCTTGTCCTCTGTGAAGACGCCCTTGTTTCTCCCCATGGGCCGGTGTGTCGTGTGTGTGTGTGTGTGTGTGTGTGATGAAAACTGTCCTCTCGCTGTGTGTGTGTATGTGTGTGTGTGTGTGTGTGTGTGATGAAAACCGTCCTCGCTCTATTTCAACACAGTGCTGTTCCCTGCTCGGTAGTGCTTCTGAAGAAAGTTCTGGAACAGAAGGGCTTTTTTCATTGTATCCCATGACTCCTGGCCAAATACCCTGGGTATCATTCCAACAAGCTAGTTCTGAATTAAGGGCAAGCAGGCGTGTCCCCCACCTCCCCACTCCTGGCAGTGAGAGGCCCTGCCCCCCGGCCCTCCTGGTCTGGTGGTCACTGGGGCAGCCACTGTCCCTTGCCCCAGTGCCATACACATTGACAGCCATGGGAGAGCTCTCCCCAGCGCTGTTGGTCTGGGTGCCCACTACCCCCTGCCCCCTTGTAGTACTTCCCTGCCCTGCTGGCCGGGCATTGGGAAGGCAGACAGAGGCCTCTCCGGGCCGTGCTGGCCTGGTGGTCTTTGCAGCCCCTACTGACTCCTGCCTCTGTAGGTGTTTGACTTCGAGCTGGACAACGGGGACATGAGCACCTTACTCAGCTACAATAGGGACTGGAGGGTCTGCGCCCTGCTGAGGTGAGTGGTCTTGGGTGGAAGGAGCCAAGCTCAGAGGGTCGAGGGCAGGGGGATCCATCGCTAGCACCCGGGAGCCCCAGACTTCCTGCACCGGAGGGGCCCAGCCTGCAAGGGGACCCCTGGGCCAGAACTCTTTGTGGGGGGTGGAATTGTGCTGGGCCCCTAGGTCTTCTGATTCCACTTCAGGGCCGCCTCGTTTTCCGAGCTACCCAGACCCAGACGGGCTTCTGCGGCCGGTGATTAAAGTTGCTTGGCTGCCTGGGAGGGAGAACAGGATCCCAAGCCTAAAACCTTACAGCAAGAAGGGGGTGCGTGGAAGACAGCTCCCAGGAAGCATCACTGTGGCAGCCTTGGGGACCTTGGCTGCTGCCCCCCCAGCCACCTTCCCTTCCAGACATGCTCCACGAGGACCCGTCTCGGGAAACGTGGGAGACAAGTGGAGTGGTGCCTGTGGGGCTATCTCGTTCCTGAGTCCCAGGGGTGGCCCTGCCTTCACGGCCTGAGTGGAGGGGGGTGGCAGGAAGGTGGGGGGGAGTGGCAGGGTCATGGCTCCAACACACAGGAGTCCCTCCCGGCTGCCTCCCAGTCTCCCTCATTGCAGCTTGAGCTGAGGGGGTGACAAGCAAGGTGTGGTTCGCTTTTTCCCAGCATTCCCTTGATGGAAAGAAATTCAGACTCATCCTCCACTCTGAGGTCCGGGGACAATAAGTGGCCCCCGTGGGGCAAGGTCTCTTGGGTTGGGCAGTTAATGCCAGACTGAGCCTCTATAGCTGGCAGGAGCCACGGGCCCTGGCAGACGGGACCTGGAAGGGCCACGTGTCCCCAGGATCAAATCCCAGCAATCTGATCCACTCTGACTCCTACTCATTCTCAGAACTTCCTGCCTTGTGGTCTTCCCTCCGTGTGTGTAAGACATTAGCCGGCCCTGCTGGCCAGCCTGGCTGACTCACTTGGAGGCAGGCATGGAGTTGGGGCTCCTTAGGTGGGCGGGCAGACACAGAGGAAGTGCTTCAGGAGGGCGAGGGGCCCGGGCTCTGTGACCTGCGTCCTGTGTCACACCTGTCCTCTTCCTCTGGCAGCGGGGCCCAGCACAAGGATTACCCCTTCAACGCCGAGTTCTAAATCCACGGAACCTGCTCTCCCGAGATCCTGGACCCCTCCTGCTCCCCTGCGCGTGTCACCTGCCAGGAGACTTGCCACCTGGCCCGTCCAGTATGGGCGGGCGGGGCCTGAAGAGTCGGGCCTAGATCAGATGCCGCCCCCAGTTTCCTGGGCCCTTCCTGGCAAGCTGCAAAAGCAACCCCCTCTCTGACCCCCAGAGGCCAAGTCTGTGGTCAGCATTGTGCCATTCACAATGGAAACCCTTTCAGCCACCATCCTCCCGCTGTGAATAAAGAGGGCTTCTGTGAACTTGTGCGTCCCCTCTGTCTGTGTGGTGAAACAAGGCCACTTCCTGCCCCAGCCCTCTCATCCACACCCAGCAGCCCTTGCCTGGGATCAGCTGGGCTGTGCAGGACGTCCCAGCTGGTTCAGACCTGCAGTTGAGGGCGGGGCTCTAGGCCCTGACCTGCACATGAGCCGCTGACTGGTTCCCAGGTCCCTGGGGTGACCTTGGCTGTGACCACCAGAGATGCCCGGTGCGGCCCAAGCAGCACTGCCCCAGCACTAACGTCCAGCCCACCCGCCCTGGGTCTCCGGAAGCTCACAGTGCAGACTGGAGGGAAGATGGCCTAGGTAGTGGTCAGCTGGGGGAGGACGAGCCTTTTAAATGGGGTCTCAAATGTTAGGCCTTGAAGCCTTCCCAATTGGCTTTCTAATCCAGGATTCAGTGGCTGAGAGGATGGGGTACATGGGAGGTGGGGGGGGAGGGAGCTCACATCTCATGAAGCCAGGTGTTCTCTCACTGACTGCATGGTGAGGCCCCTGCTAGCTGGGCACGCCAGCAGGTGAGTTACCCATCTTTAAGATGCCATACAGGGTCCCGTACTGGACAGTGGCTACCGGACCACACGCAGGAATGAGAGGCCACTAAGCCCCGAGTAGGTGGGGCCCCATGTAGGTCCAGCCCCTCTGATGAGCCCCTCTCTGCTCATCAGAGAGGTTGGGATTCCCCACAGGGGTGTTGGGTCCTACACGGCACACCTAAGCCATCCTTGGGGAACTGAGGGCTGCCTCGTGATTACAACAGAATCATCCATGGCCTGGCCCCTTCCCCTTGTCCAGCTCATCAAGAATTGGCTTAAACACCCTTTGGGAAAACTTTTAGGGCCTCACTAAAAAGTCTTCTAAGAACTGAAATTCTGCCTTCCCCATCACTGTCCCAAATAAAATTCCATCTCTAGCCAGGTGATTTGAAGGTCAACCCCGAAGGGAAGACCAGCCTGCATTCCATCTCAACCCCTTCATATTGTTGACCCAGCCTCCAGCGGAGGCTCACATTCTAAGGGTGGGTCCCTTGAACCCTGCTGGGCACTGGGGAGAGCAGATGTCCTGCGTTTAGGGCGTAGCCAGTGGCCTGGTGCAGTGGAGGTCCAGCTCAGTGCACACTGAGAGTGGGTCAGGATGAGGACGACAGTGCTATTGCCACCAACAGGGAGCCCTTGCTCTGTGGGAGGGGCCCAGCTCGACCTGGGCAGGCTGCGAGGGGAAGCTCTGGGCCGGTATGGGCTCATCTTTGAGGGCCTGTGTGCCTCTCTAGTTGGGCCACAAAAGACACTTGTGAAATAGTTGGTGTTCTTCCCAAAACTGTTCAGCCAAAGTCTAGAATACCACCAGCAGGAAGATGGGCGTCTGCCCCGTCACCTCCCAAAGCCGGTGGGACCTGTCTGGAAATCTCCCTGAGCACGGCTTGCACATACCCCGCTTCACTGTCTACGATTCTGCTGTCTCAGCCAGGCAGCCTCAGCGCTCCCCCGGTTCCCCAGCAGCCTTCCCCGCACTGCGGCCCCAGGCCTGCGGTGCATGCCCACCCTGCGGAAGGTAAGCAGGGGTTGATTTGTGCTGACTCATCTGTTAAGTGCCGGCAAGTCAGATCCCTCTCACAGCAATCCCTTATACAACGGAACGAAACACCGCGTGGTCCCACGCCATCCTCAACAGTCGTCCCATTCGAGCCCACGCTTGCAGCCAGGGTATCAATTCATGTCCTCGCAGCTCCTCCCCCTCCTCGCTGCCTTTCCACTGCACGAAGCACGATGACCCTTCATGAGGGCCCGGTCTCTCCTGAGGACCTGTCCAAAGTCCAGGAGATGAGGTGTCCCCTTGATTCTGACTAACCTGAGAGAACAGTTTGACGGGTCTCCACCACATCAGTCTACCTTTGCCGTCTCCCAACCTCACAGCCCCTCCCCGCAGCATCCAAGCCTCTTCGAATGTACAGTCCTCCACAGGGACAGTGTACCCTGTCAGCATGTTAAGCACAGGCTTATTTGTGCTTACTAACCAATGCTCGTGGAAGCAGCAGTCGAGACCAAATGACATGCTGCGTTGGGTAAATCCACTGCGCAGGACCTCTTGAAAGTATCAAAGAGCACGGCTGCTCCTTTGAAGACTGAAGTGCGCCTGACCACGCCGTGGTTTTTTTGGGCTCCTCCTGTGCACGTGAAAGTGAGACAAGGAGCAGGGAGGACCAAAGGAGAATTGGTCCATTTGAATTATGGGGCCGGCAAAGCATATCCAAAGTACCATGGAGTACCAAAAATATCCCCCCAAGCCCAACAAATCTGTCTTGGAAGAAGTACAGCCAGAATGCTCCTCAGAGCCCAAGATGGCGAGACTTCACCTCACGTACTTTGGACACGTGATCCAGGGAAACCCGTCCCTAGAGAAGGACATCGGGCTTGGTAGAGTAGAGGGGCAGTGAAAACAAGGAAGGCCCTTTGAGAATGATGATGGCAACTTGTACAAATGTGCTTGACACAGCGGACAGATGGATGGATGGATGGATGGATGGATGGATGGATGGATGGATGGATGGATGGATGGATGGATGGTGAGTTAGTTAATTGTGCCAGCCTGGCCGATAATCACATGTGGTGCTGGTTGAAAGGCGGAGGGATAAATGGGTGGTGAAGCCTC